ATTCATGATTAATGAAAGGTTATCTTAGGTCATGAAAAGTTGCTTCCGGAGTACACGCCCCCTGGACGGAAGTTATGTAAATTCATGATTAATGAAAGGTTATCTTAGGTCATGAAAAGTTGCTTCCCTTATATGTAACTGTAAAAAACGCCCATAGAAACTGCAAAACACAAAATGTGAAACCGCAAGTTTTCATGTATGTCCGCATGGACCCAATGAACCTCCATATCAAATTTAATGAAGACCCATCTACAGAGAGCGAAGTAGTGGTAAAAAAAAACGCAAAACGCAAAATGCAAAACTGAAAATATATATGTATTTCCCCATCGACCTAATGAGCCTCCATAACAAATTTGGTGAAGGTCCATCCACATCCTTCGAAGTAGTTACATGGACAGACAACAGACAGTACTATTATATTTACGTAGATTTCTTCTTGTTTTGTATACCTCAGTTCTGGAACTGCCTCCTCGGATATGAGCATGGTTTTTCTTTCTTTGTTAGCTTGTTTAGACAAGAGTATTCATGATGAGTATACTGGAATGGACGGAAACTGTCTGTTGTAAAAATTTGTTTGTTTGTTGTGGATTTCGCGCAAAGCTACACGAGGGCTATCTGCGCTAGCCGTCCCTAATTTAGCAGTTTAAGACTAGAGGGAAAGCAGCTAGTCATCACCACCCACCGCCAACTCTTGGGCTACTCTTTTTACCAACGAATAGTGGGATTGACCGTCACATTATAACGCCCCCACGGCTGAAAGGGCGAGCATGTTTGGTATGATGGGGATTCGAACCCGCGACCCGCACTGTTGTAAAAACACAAGTGTAGAGGACGACGTTTCGAAAGTCTTCCTGTACGCTTGTGTTTTTTTTCTAGAAAAAGCAGTTGTCGCCCATTCCAGTATACTCATCGTGGGTTTTTCTTATTGAAACACAAATTCATCAAGTATTTTCACTAACATATAAATTTCTTCGCATCTTACTTTTATTCAATCTTTAAAAGTACAGTTTGATAGTAAATTGATCATGTATACGTGAGTAGAAGCACAGGTGTCAAACAAATGGAAACAGAAGGGGCAACCCCCCGTTTTTGAAGTTAGTGTAAATAAACTATTATTAACAACTATGTTAGACTGATATAGGTTTTTTGCCCTCCCTTCCTCACACACACAATTTCCAAAAAAGTAGAAAAAATACACTATTAACTGGAATATTATTACAAAGAAAAACATTTGGCAGTAGGAATTATCAGAATCGGATATTTGCCCCAAATGTAAGAATATTTGGTATTTTTCAACTTGAACTTTATATGTCACAGAGCTAAACCCCCTGAAGTTCAGAAATAGCAATCACTACTTTAGAACGGCAGTAAAAAAAAAGTTTTATTCAAATTTCTTACTTAAATAAGGTCTATATTGCACAAAAAATGCCTTTGTGAAATATGAGAGATAGCAATGTTCAATTGAGGAACTAACATAATAATCCCATGGTTTGTTTAGACTGTTACCTGGCAGTGAGAGTATTCAAGTAAGAAAGATAAATTACTTAGGTATATGTTACAATGTTTAATGGAGGATTAACGGATATAGCAGGATTGACTGTTACAGCTATAACGACCCTGTCTTTGAATGTACAGAGCGTGTTCAGCAGCATATTGGGGCTCGAACCTTGTATTACTAGGCCACGCAGGTGCCCGAGAAAATATTTTGAGCTCAAGTATTTTGTGAATGTTTGTTTGATGTAAATGCATCCCTCAGTTGTTGTTTTTTTTTGGAGGGGGGGGGGTTCTGGGAAGAGGTAAATGAAGCAGTAGCAGAGAATTGACATTACCACAATTTCAGTGGTTAAATTGGGATTTTGAAAGAAGTGGAACGTCCCTTTTGAAATCCTCTTTTTAGAAGCATAGTACATCAGAAGACTCTGTGATTGACACTTTCGTTTTTTCATCTATTCAGAAGACCAGGAACGCTGAGTTGAATCCTCAAAAGGTGAAACGCCGTTCCGGACCGTTCCGCTCCAATTTAGCCCCTGTTCAATTCTTAGTCAAATCACAAACAATACTTATTTTGACAGTATTGCATCCCAGTGGTTCAGCAGTAAATCTGCAGACCTATGACACTAACCGTGGTGGGAAAAACACAGGTAGCCCATTGTGTAGTGTTTCGCTTGACAACAACCAAACCAAACCAAACCAAGTCGCAGTCTCCAACCATTATTACACAGCGATATTTGTTTTGCAAAATTCAAAACGGACTTGGACCATCATTCTAAAACACAAAACAATAAAACTGAGGTTTTGAAAATAACAACAAAAAAGGGGAAAACTACTTTCTATAAATTCTAGTACGCGTGTCTTTGTTAAAAACTAATGAAAATTGTTCTAAAACGTTGACGTTAGCGCCCTCTAGCATGGTGATAATTATTCATGGGGCTTTCCTGCTGTGGAAAATACAAGGCTTTTTTTCTTTCCTTATTTTTTCGCGATCTTTGATTTAAGATAAGTACATTCTCCTGTTATTTTCCTGGAAGATTTGTACCACATGTTGTTCTCCTCTCCTTAATTACTTTTCTTACCACCAGGAAGATGTTTTATATTGACACTGTCGGCATAGCAACAGTTCCCTTA